CTGCATAACACAAGAATGAACCTCATTGGTTATTGCTGAAGACCAAAGGTGCTGCGTAGCACGAGAATGAACCTCATTGGTCCTTGCAGAACCTTAAACGTGCTGCGTACAACGAGAATGAACCTCATTGGTTCTTGCAGAACCCTAAACTTGTTGCGTAACACGAGAATGAACCTCATTGGTTCTCGCAGAACCTTAAACGTGCTGCCTAACACAAGAATGAACCTCATTGGTTCTTATAGAACCTTAAATGTACTGCCTAACACTAGAATGAAACTCATTGGTTCTTTCAGAAGCTAAAATGTGCTGTGTAACACGAGAAAGAACCTCATTGGTTCTCGTAGAACCTTAAATATGCTGCATAATACAAGAATGAACCTCATTGGTTATTGCTGAAGATCAAACGTGCTGCGTAACACGAGAATGAACCTCATTGGTTCTTGCAGAACCTTAAACGTACTGCCTAACACTAGAATGAAACTCATTGGTTCTTTCAGAAGCTAAAATGTGCTGTGTAACACGAGAAAGAACCTCATTGGTTCTCGTAGAACCTTAAATATGCTGCATAATACAAGAATGAACCTCATTGGTTATTGCTGAAGATCAAACGTGCTGCGTAACACGAGAATGAACCTCATTGGTTCTCGCAGAACCTTAAACGCGCTGCCTAACACAAGAATGAACCTCATTGGTTCTTGCAGAACCTTAAAAGTACTGCCTAACACTAGAATGAAACTCATTGGTTCTTGCAGAACCTTAAAAGTACTGCCTAACACTAGAATGAAACTCATTGGTTCTTGCAGAACCTTAAAAGTACTGCCTAACACAAGAATGAACCTCATTGGTTCTTGCAGAACCTTAAATGTACTGCCTAACACTAGAATGAAACTCATTGGTTCTTTCAGAAGCTAAAATGTGCTGTGTAACACGAGAAAGAACCTCATTGGTTCTCGTAGAACCTTAAATATGCTGCATAATACAAGAATGAACCTCATTGGTTATTGCTGAAGATCAAACGTGTTGCGTAACACGAGAATGAACCTCATTGGTTCTTGCAGAACCTTAAACGTGCTGCGTAACACGAGAATGAACCTCATTGGTTCTTGTAGAACCTTAAAAGTACTGCCTAACACTAGAATGAAACTCATTGGTTCTTTCAGAAGCTAAAATGTGCTGTGTAACACGAGAAAGAACCTCATTGGTTCTCGTAGAACCTTAAATATGCTGCATAATACAAGAATGAACCTCATTGGTTATTGCTGAAGATCAAACGTGCTGCGTAACACGAGAATGAACCTCATTGGTTCTCGCAGAACCTTAAACGCGCTGCCTAACACAAGAATGAACCTCATTGGTTCTTGCAGAACCTTAAAAGTACTGCCTAACACTAGAATGAAACTCATTGGTTCTTGCAGAACCTTAAAAGTACTGCCTAACACTAGAATGAAACTCATTGGTTCTTGCAGAACCTTAAAAGTACTGCCTAACACAAGAATGAACCTCATTGGTTCTTGCAGAACCTTAAATGTACTGCCTAACACTAGAATGAAACTCATTGGTTCTTTCAGAAGCTAAAATGTGCTGTGTAACACGAGAAAGAACCTCATTGGTTCTCGTAGAACCTTAAATATGCTGCATAATACAAGAATGAACCTCATTGGTTATTGCTGAAGATCAAACGTGTTGCGTAACACAAGAATGAACCTCATTGGTTCTTGCAGAACCTTAAACAGGTTGTACTACTAATTATCTCTGTGGGAACTACTAATTATTTGGATCCGTATTATCCGTATTACTAATTAAACTCTGTGGGAACTACTAATTATTTGGATCCGTATTATAAAGTGAAGATCATTGGAACTAACTAGTAATTACTCAAGTGTTACTACATGATCTAGTCATGATTTGTGCAAACGTTTGAGATTTTTGGTGAACTTTAGTAACCTTTAGAAAATGTCTTTAGTAACACTTGAGTCATTACTAGTTCGTTCCAATGAACTTCACTTTATAATACGAATCCAAATAATTAGTAATTCCCACAGAAGTATCTAGTAACACTTTCATCTGTGAGCTATTACTTACTAATTCCTTAATAAGAGTTTCTTTTAGTTAATAGTAGTTACTAGATTGTTAATAAACTTTTTCAGTAGTTCTCTGGGAAGTATTAAAAAAATAGTAGTTATTGATTACTTAATAGTAAACTACCACTTTCGTCTGTGCGCTATTACTTACTAGTTCGTTAATCAGAGTTTCTTGTTAGTTAATAATAGTTACTAGATTGTTAATATTGTGTTACTCATTAGTTCTTGTGTAGTTATTCATTAACGAAGGAACCGTATTCTAAAGTGTTACCGAAAACTACGTCCATAACATTAAGTAAAACGAGTTTATTTTATATTATTAATTTAAAAAAAGGAAAATCCGTTACCAACCTCCTCTTTTCTACAACACATTAAAAACAAACAGACAGCCAGAGAGTTAAAGAGTCAATCAAGTGTGGGTTTCGGAGTGCTTTGTTTTCAGTCGGTGGGGTTTCATCGCTCATTTTCATGTCTTTTGAAAAAGGACCCCTGTCATGCCACACAATTCACAGAGAAAAAGTGAAGGGAATTCATGGCCATTTCTGTGGCGCACCGACCTCAGTTAGGATTACACCGTTACAGCTGGAAAGAGACGGATAAACAGTCAGGCTAAAAAGGGGTGGGAGCCGAGGATGGAATATACTAGAGCATGGGGTTTTCCTTTTCCCCAGTCTGCCTCTGTTTAGTAGCGAGTGATGAAAGGATAATTTTCCCCTTGCCCTTTAAGCGCAGCATTGTCACAGAGTTCAACGGCCCTAGCGACAGATGAGTTCGAGCCCCCGAGGGCCCCGCTCTAGCCTCACATCTCGTGGGCTTTGTCAAGGGCCAAGCCACTGTCATATGAAACAGACATCTAATAGGTAAGCCTTTGTGTCCACCCCTTCACATCTGCTGACCCGCCCAGCCCCCAAAGAGCATTGGCGTTCTGCGAGGGAAGACAAACTCACATCAGAGTTCACAAAGAGCTGATAAAGCCATGCCAGTGTTATTTCTGAATTGCGACCGCGCTCTGTGGTTTAAGGTTCATGAAAATTAAACCACAGGAAGCAATTGTCTCATAAAAGCGTATAGTCGACACATTCAAATACGCCTGGCAGTGTTGTGTAAGCATATTTTGGGTGGTATCTGTTGTTGTTGTTCGGTGCTTTTTTTAGGTGAAAGTACAAAAAAAAAGCGTTTAATCGCTGCATGGTGTTTCAGTAGTTTTTGTTATGCTCCCTGGAGTGCTGTGTGTGTGTATGTGAGGGAAGGTGGTGAGAGACTGTGAACTTGCGGTTCAAGTTTCTTTATTACTTCCCAACTAACATGGAACGTTCTCTGAACTCTGGCAAACGTGCTGCAAGGTTCTCTATGAACAGTTATGAAGGTTAATAAAATGTTTAGTCGATTATAGATTGAGTTTCAGGGAACATTCAATAGTAACGTTCTCATGATGTTAGCTAAATTATAAAATTGAACGTTCCCTTAATGTTCGCATTTTTTGAAACGTTCAGAGAACATTCGGAAATAACGTTTTCATAATTTAATGGGAACATCAGAACTCATTCTCATGCATAGACCCGAATGCATGCCTTGAGATTTGTTTTGTATTTAAGCCTGAAATGATATGCTCCGACAGTTATTTTAAATAGTTGTGATTACACGAGTACTGCACGAGTACACATAGGCAGATGTGAATGTGTTCACATACATATTTTGTGATCCTTACATTTTTGTGGCACTAACAAATTCAGTACTCGTAGGGCAACAGAGTTACCTTCAAATGCCTGTGCTATTAAACTGTATGTTTTATTTGCGAGTATAACATCCCTTGCGGCAACATTAATATTGCAATGTGTACTTGTGTTGCGTTGTCAAACTGACAATAGAAGAAAACAATTTCCTTCTATATTGCCCATGGCATGTTTATAATGTTATTTGTGATTGTTGCATTATGAATTGTGTTCAAACTGGGTGAAATCATGCTTGCGTAGCAGGATATGTATGCATTCAAAGTCTGATATCAGGCTTATAACATACGCTGTTTTATTGTGATGTACACTGTAAAAAGGTTGCTGTAAATTTTACAGTAACAGTAAGTTACTGTAAAAGCGTTTACAGTATCGCTACTGTAATTTAATTTACAGTATGAGAACAGTATATTTTTTACTGTACAAGTACCATATTTGAATTTACAGGAGTAATACTGTATATTGTATTCATTAGTACAACTACTGTATTTTTATTTACAGTATATTGTATTCATTAGTACAACTACTGTATTTTTATTTACAGTATAGGAGTTGATTTCTTATTTACGATTTGAAGTAGAAAAATAATTACAGTAGTAAACACATATTTCCCATAATCCTTGGCTAGTTACAGTTGGCACATTTACTGTACATATTACAGTACAATACTGTTCAAATGACAAAAATCCGCTAGAGTGTACAATCAAAGCAAAAATTATTCAGACACCAGATATAATTTTTGATATGTTTGCTAGTGGGTGCAGGACACTATAGTTAATTTAAGTGAGGATAGTAAAAATGAAATAAACTGTGACATTATTATAAACTGTACATTATATATTATACCCAGAAATTCTTCATAGAGTGACTACCAGTAAAAATTATAAAAATCAGGGACCAAAAATCATTCCGACACTTTGAGCTGATCAATTGCTAAGCTTGGTCACTGGTTGAGCTAAACTGGTATTATCTAATTGTGTAGTTAAATTTACCAGCTGACAGATATTCAACATAACTCATGTGTGAGACAGTCTAACAGAAGAACCATATACTGTAGCCAATAAACTGTGATAATGTGAGAAATTTTGTTTGACTGTATTGTTTTTTTGTTTTGTTTTTACAATATCCCCTTCTCCCAAACCCCTTGTGCATGCATGAAGAAGGCACCTCATGATTGTGAGCACCTCACCTGCAGAGCAATGAGAATATTGGGCAGCGCCTGACCGTAAGTGTCGTGGCAGTGCACCGCCAGTGCGTCGACGGGCACCTCTGTCAACACATCGCTCAGCATCTTGGCCATGGAGCCCGCGGTTCCTACGCCAATGGTGTCCCCCAGGGATACCTCATAACAGCCCAGCTCAAACAACCGCTTCGCCACCTGGGCCGGAACAGAGGAAAGCCATGAAAACACTATCCCCTCTGGAAATATAAACAACATGAAGGCCTGCACACAGAGAGCTCATTCTGAGCGCTGCCGTGTTTCAAGCGTCATGCAGGTTTTTTAGCAAACATCGTAATAAGGGCCTTGTGGGACTATGAAAATTGTGGGAAGGAAAAAAAATATGCGGAGAGCTCAACACCCAGAGAGATTTATCACGTACTGGAAGGCCTATTTAATTTCGCTTCGGGCTAATTCTATTCGGACTGAACGATGCACCGTCAATACCTTTGTGACTTGTGACGGTTTTACTTGTCCCTCATACGGACAGCCGAGAGCACAGGAAACGTACCTGGAAAGAAGAGAAAGAGTTGTAGGGATGTACTTTGACAGTGCAAACAGTCATGCAACATATGGGAAATAAGGTCTCACTGCAACCACAAGTAGAAGAGTCCACAGCGGCCTGAACTGCTCTTGCAACGGATTACATCTATCACGGAATAGAAGCAGCAGGTTAAACATTTGTGAAACGGTTGTGACAAATAGTACCACTAGCGTTGACAGTACGAATGAGAAATGGTGGAGAGCAACGTACAAGCTATATGTGCTTTCCATATGTGACGGAAACAGTGAACAAATAAGTGAAAAGTTGAAAACGTTCCTCTCGGGCTTGTGGTCGTCAGACGATACTTCCGTGTGCTACCAGGATTTCCGTGGTGTGGAGTCTCTTCTTGAACGATAGGTGTCGAGTCACATTTGCCAGAATGAGTTCGTCAGACTGAAGCGTTTGTTTTTGATTGGGTAAAAAGCAGAGGCTAAAAACTCTGCACACATCTGGACTTGTACTTGAAACTGATACAAAGCACCACGCTGCATGCACATCTGGAACTTGAATTATTTACTCATTAATTCTGGAATAATTTCATGCTGCTCTGGTGCCCCATCTCAAAACCTCAAAGGAGAACAGTCCAAAAATATAAGTACAACAATAAAAGAAACCGCAGGTTAAACCAAAGGAACTTGCTTATATAACGAATGGCTCCTGAAAATGTGTCTGAGACAGAGACAATCATCTGAATCAAGTGTTTTACTCAGTGTCATTGTATTTTGCCTAATTTATGAAGCATTCAGTTACTAGTTGGAATTATAATTTAACGATCAGCATTGCAGAAAATACAATCAAGTGAGCTTGGGTCAAACCTACAGCCATCCAGTAACTACTCCAGACCGGTTGGCAAAGCACCCCTTTGATTAATGGTGTACGCAAAAATCTCTGCCAGTTTTGAAAACATGCCATTTTAAAAGTTCCTCCAATGCGGTTTTCAAAACCTGCTGACAAATCCAGCATTAATTCCATGTTGGTCCAGGCTAGTTTATGCTGGTTAGAGCTGGTATATTGCTGGTTTAGGTGATGGATCAGTATAGTCATGCTGTTCTCAATCAACACTGGGCTGGTGGAGCTGCTCTGCCAATGGTCCCACTTCCCATGCTGGAAACCAGCAAATCGGCATCCCATGCTAAACATACCTTATGATGGTGTCTTGCCTACAATCATTCCTATACCAGTCCAGATCATTGTTTGCTTTGAGTAACTAGACCTCTTTTCAGTTGGTAAACATGGGGACGTTTTTTTGTGGGCGGAGCTTAGGTGGAGGCAGAAAGATCCCTCTGGCCGCTTCACTAACGCTAGTTAGCAAGGATTGTTAGCTTGTTTTTTTAACAATGACTGGAGAAAATCTGATATTATCTTAATGTGTATGGTCACTCAGTGTCCAGGACCGTGATTGTTATTTCCAAAAGTTATTTTTAATGGACGGAAACCACATTGGCCGACCCGTAGCCGCCTACACGCTCACTCAATGCATGGACGATCTGACAGGATTATAACGTTACGTTACCTCGGGTGAGTCGCCTGACTTCTACAAATAAAGAAATCTAGAAATAGTGGAGGTGATTGGGTCGTGGAGGGATGCCAGTAGGATTGTCGCTTGGATGGAGCAATAATTATATTCTTTTAATTATGATTGACAGAACTGAATTATTTTAACCAACATTTGGAACTAATTTAAACACAGTCTTGGATCATTACCTGGATCGGAATCAGTACCTGACAAATGCTGACCAGGGGTGTGTTTCCCAAAATCAGCGTTAACCAACTATGGTCGCAAGTTCCGTCCTTATCAGCATAGTTCAACGAGACGGTCCCAAAACCATAGTTCTAACAAACATTCACAAACAACATCGAAAATTTGTCAAAATAAAAGTCACAGCAATGAGTGCGGCTTACGTCACTTCAGAGTTCCTACTGGCGGTGCGAATACAATGGGAAAAGGTTCCTATGGGAACTTTTAGGTCACCTGATGGAGTTTTAGGACACCTTTAGGTCACTTGATGGAGTTTAGGACATCATTGGGTCACCTGATGGAGTTTTAGGACACCATAGGGTCACCTGATGGAGTTTAGGACATCATTGGGTCACCTGATGGAGTTTAGGACACCATAGTGTCACTTGATGGAGTTTTAGGACATCTTTAGATCACCTAATGGAGTTTTAAGACACCATTAGGTCACCAGATGGAGTTTTAGGACACCATTAGGTCACCAGATGGAGTTTTAGGACACCTTTGTTCACCTGATGGAGTTTTGGGACACCATAGGGTCACCTGATGGAGTTTTAGGACACCTTTTGGTCACTTGATGGACTTTTAGGACACCATAGGGTAACCTGATGGAGTTTTAGGACATCATTGGGTCACCTGATGGAGTTTTAGGACACCATTGGGTCACCTGATGGAGTTTTAGGACACCTTTAGGTCACTTGATGGAGTTTAGGACATCATTGGGTCACCTGATGGAGTTTTAGGACACCATAGGGTCACCTGATGGAGTTTAGGACATCATTGGGTCACCTGATGGAGTTTAGGACACCATAGTGTCACTTGATGGAGTTTTAGGACACCTTTAGATCACCTAATGGAGTTTTAGGACACCATTAGGTCACCAGATGGAGTTTTAGGACACCATTAGGTCACCTGATGGAGTTTTAGGACACCATTGGTTCACCTGATTGAGTTTTAGGACACCATTGGGTCACCTGATGGAGTTTTAGGACACCATTGGTTCACCTGATTGAGTTTTAGGACACCATTGGTTCACCTGATTGAGTTTTAGGACACCATTGGTTCACCTGATTGAGTTTTAGGACACCATTGGGTCACCTGATTGAGTTTTAGGACATCATTGGGTCACCTGATGGAGTTTTAGGACACCATTGGTTCACCTGATTGAGTTTTAGGACACCATTGGGTCACCTGATGGAGTTTTAGGACACCATTGGTTCACCTGATTGAGTTTTAGGACACCATTGGGTCACCTGATGGAGTTTTAGGACATCATTGGGTCACCTGATTGAGTTTTAGGCCATCATTGGGTCACCTGATTGAGTTTTAGGACGCCATTGGGTCACTCGATGGAGTTTTTCATTTCCTTGCCACTGTTGCCTTTGGCTTGCTCAGTTGGGGATATTCAAATTAATTAACCAATCATTAATACCATTGATCAGCTCTACCAAATTTGGATGTTTTTCCAATAAGAAACAAACATTGTTATTATGTTTTGATCGACACTGTGAAGCTGCTTTAATGCAGTCTATACTGCGAAAAGCGGTAAATATACTTGACTTGACGTCACGGCTCTCGCCCTCTGTTCGTTGATTGGCCGGCTGTTTTCAGGTTGGAGGAAAACTGAGAGATAGGTCGCTATCTCAGACTGAGTACAGAAGCGAACTGAAATTGAGCGGAAGTATGAAGTCTGGCGTAATCAGGCTCATGGTAGTGAGTTATGTCGTTTTACGGGAAACACACCCCTGATTTGCTTTCGATGTTAGTGTCAAAGTGGAAGCGCACATAATGAGCACTGGTCTAAATACTAAGAAGGAAGCTGGTTTCCACTGAACACACCCGCGCACTGGAATGCCTTCGTGTTTGGCTGCAGAGATGACCTGCTCGAACCTCTGCAGACTCTCCTCTATAGAGCAGTTGATGTTCTTCCAGCTGAACGTCTCCGAGGCAGAACCAAACACTGCCACTTCAGTAGCTCCTGCTGCAACCTTTAACAGGAAACATTTCATCAAGTCTGTGCTTATAGATGTTGGCTTGTGAGTACAACCTGCTTGATTAGCAAGGAAAGCAATTAACAGAAATGGGCTAAACATTTACAAGATGCAAAGGTTGCTCACTTATGCAAGGTAAAGGGGCAGTGGACGCGTAGGCAGAACGCACGTATAAATAAAGTGGTTTATTATACACTAAAAACATCATTGACCTGGCATGGAAGGCTAATTGGAAATGTCACTTGTAAATAAATGTAAATGATGCAAATATTTACTTACAGCTGCCTGGAAGCCCTGAATATTGGGAGTCAGAACCGGGTATCTTACGTCAGGAGACCTTTTAATCCCTTTCAACACTGCACTGTGGTCTGCCATCTGAAAAACAAAATTATGCTCAAACTTTATCCCACAGATCCCGCAGTGTTTTTGAACACCAAACCCAGGGCTTTTGTGCGGATAGAAAAGCTCACAGTTGCACCTTATTACCTGAGCAACCCACTTTGAAGACACAAAGCTAGTGGCTTCGATGACAGGCAGACCGGTCTGAGAGAGCATGTCTATCAGCTGGATTTTGACTTCTGTCGGCACTATTTCCTGCAGAAACACAATGACACAAAAGTCTTGGGTTTCTATGAACACATCCATCTGTGAGCCTCAACAGCACCACACTATTGAGATGAATCATTTATTTGCCACTGTAACTGAATGAATCGTTTTCCTGTGAATATGTACAATAGGACAGTACCTACTAAACTCAGAGCAGGCTCAATGGAAAAACATGCAACATTTTTGAAAAATGATACTTCATTGCTTCATGCCCATTCACAACACTTTCACAGTGAAATGTCCTGTGAGGGATGTTTATAAGCGTGTTCATTTTTATAAATGCACTTACAAACACCAACATACATTCACAGCAGTTTAGAAATGAAATGTTAATGCTTTATCGCATTTAAAAAGAGACAACCTACATTAAACCCTACACTCTTAAAAATAAAAGTTCTATATTTGCATCCATGGTTCCCAGTGTTGGCGGTATCGCATTACAAGTAACTTGAGTCACGTAAATTGGGGAACTTGAGAGATGAAACCTGGTCTGTGGTGGAGTAGTGAGTTTGATGATATTAATCTCGAGGTTCTGGGGTTCGGACTGGATCGAATCCGTTCCTAGAGCTGTCGAACAAATGGGTTTTTAGGGGTTCGGACTGATGGGGAAGTGAACCGAGTTTACCCCGTGAGTCAGTCCTAGAGCTCCTCCGGTCCGATTTTAGGGGGAAATTGGGTCCATTGGAGCCGTCCAATAGATTTATTATAGGCGTGCCGAAAGAACACCACAGACACAGTGTGATCGTCCAGCGCAGTCTCACCCCAAAAAGTCATACAACTGACGTTTTGGGACGTCTTTTGACCATACGTCAATTTTCGCCTTTTTAGGGCCCCCTTAAACGTCGGTAGATGAGGTTATGGGATCCTAACCCTACCCCAGACCTAAACCTAACCCTAAACCTAACCCGTCACACGTTAAAGGTAAAGCGTCATCTACCGACGTTTAAGGGGGCCCTAAAAAGGCGAATATTGACATATGGTCAAAAGACGTCCCAAAACGATGAGAATGTGTTGGATCGCCATGGGGAAATCTCAGAACTGGGAGTTGTGAAAAATATGACACACCATTTTGCCTGATGAGAACTATCTATCGATCTATCGATCTATCTATCGATCTATCTATCTATCTATCTATCTATCTATCTATCTATCTATCTATCTATCTATCTATCTATCTATCTATCTATCTATCTATCTATCTATCTATCTATCTATAACTGTTTTCATTTTCCTTGCTTTTATTTTGTGACTATTTTAATTCCTTTCTGTCCATTCCTTCTTTGAATTGCCATATGAAATGTGCAAAAAAATAAAATGTATGACACAACTGCTCAATATATTTATGTCTTTGGGTTTACATTTCGATTTTTCTTTTATTTGAAAGGAGAATGCTAAAATAAAACACATGCTACAAGCATTTTAGAATTGTGAAATCTCTACCTTCTCATTTTGAAGCCCATCTCTTGGTCCAACCTCCACAATTTTGACGTGAAGTGGAAGCTTGGGCAGTTCTGAACACTGTGAATTGAAAAACAATGAGGAAGGAAGGACCATATAACAATTTCACAGAGCTGTGCGGAAAATCTGAGATGTGGATTAAGATACTTCCTTTGTCAAACGATGCGTTCAACTTCATGTTTTCAAACTGCTCTGCAGATCCTTGGCAGGTCATTTATGACATAATGCGCACTGGACGCAAGCGTTTCCTCTCTTTCAATAGTAAAAACCAAAGCTTAACCTTTGATTTCAGTGAGTAGCATAACCAAGGGCCAATGCTGTGTTTATAGAAGATTTGAATGGCTATAAAAGCTCAGCCTCTTGATACTGAAACGCTCGCTTTGAGGAGCCGCACAGTTTCTTCAGAGTCGAGTTTGATTTAATTGTGCTGTCGAGGAGGGAGGAAATGGATGTGTGAAAGAAATGATAAAAAAGTTCTTTATAAGAAGTTTCTGTAGGCGGAGGAGGACCGGTGAGGTTTGTCCCGTTATCACTCCAGGCCTGCCGTTACGACAGCCTATTACATTCACTCATAAATCAAACTCGCTCTCTTTTAACTCGCCGCTCAAGACCGAAATGCAGAAATGGATTAAGCTTTTTCTTCTTATCATCTAAATAAATTAGATAATTAAAAAATTAAAAATCATTTTTATATTTGTCTAATCAAAATTTTGGTTTAAACCTGTTTTATTAAGTTTGTATTCAAAAAATAGGAACACTCCCTATATGTAGAAATATTTTTTAAAAAATGAAAATATTCTGTTTAAATAGTATTTTTGTTTGATATCATGCAGAACAATTACTGACTGTGCATCATATTTTAATTTGTTTATTGAATTATCTTTTTAGTACATAAAATAAATTATGATGCATAATAAAAAAGACATCACAATAAACATGAAGTTCTTTCTAAGAGAATATTCCACTCTCTATGTATAGATAGTGCACTAAATCAGTCATTGATTAACATTGTGTGTCTGTGTGCGTATTCAATCATGTTTTGATTGCAGAGTTTTCATGCCATAAAGAATATGTTATTGTGCACTAGTTACTATTAGTGTGTGCTATTGCATGTAAACCGTCAATTATTAATGAAATCGAATTATATTTGAAATCGAATATAATTGAATTAATGAAATCCTGCTTGGGGACCTGCAGACTATACTTCATTTGATGATGTGAAGTTATATAACAGACTGTGATTATTTAAATACTGTAAATCCAACACACTTTTTTCCCACTGTATAGCCTTTATATATATATATATATATATATTAAATGTTGGTGTTAAATTAGTGTTAAATTAATACTGAATCAAAATGTAAGGTTCGAACAAATACAACTTGAGAAAAAAAAACAATCAAAAATCTTGCTTTTTTTTGATAAAAAAAAATAATCAGTGTTTCAATCCCAGATGAACCGTGCAAGTGACATCCAGACCTGCCACTGTGTCATTATACAGTGAAAATTCACAATTTTTGAAGTGGGAAACAATGCCATTGGACATAAATAACATTCACATTGCACCGACTTGTGGAAAAGCACCATTTTATAATTAAACACAAGTACAAAGAAAATGTGAGAGCTCATCTGGAGATGAGAAGTGAATAAAAATGACATATGCACAAATAGCTTTCTGCCTAACACTGTGTTTCACGTCATTTTCAGCTGCTCCTCCGTTGCAATATTTCCATGTATAAATCTTGCACATGCATAAACAGACCCCCACCTTCTCTTCCCACAGGAGCCGTGGCAACCAGGGATGATCCCGCAGGAAAGTCTCATAGCTCAGACAGTGCTTGACCGCAGTGGAGACGTTACCCATCCGGCTAGCTCGACCCGCTAGCCCAGCGCTGACACCTGTGGAGATCAGAGCGCAGATGCCTCTCAGGATGACTCAGCTGTTACCATGGCGACCGCATCCCTGCCTCCTGCGCACAGTGATGTCAGGAGGGGGCGTTTCGTTGGCTTTAGACTGACAGCTCCATGCGAAGTACGAGCCCCGCTGGGATTCTCGGCTCTAACCACAAGCTGCTTATGTTCCTGCGCTCGGCTCCCCTTCCCAGCGGAAATCTCCCGCTCCGGGGAAACAGGCTCTCTGCATTGATCTCCTGTGACCGCGGAGCTCATGCTTCTCAATGGCCGGCCGTGGCTCTCCTGCCAACGTCAACTGTGCTCTGTTATAAAATCTCCCTGTAAAGCCCGGCCGCAATTTACTTGTGAAAGAGCCATTCTTCCTGGCCCAGGTGCTCACAATAGAGAGGTTTAAGGAAGCTCTTGTGCTGAACTCGTCCTCAGTCAGACGCTGCTGTGTGTCGTGAGAGGGTCTGGCCTCTCTCTCAAGGGGGGGGGAATGAATCGGACGCATTTATTAGGTATCAGCATTTCTCACGTTTCAGAAGCTGATAAATCATAAAGAATATCAAAACATGTTGGGGGTTCAACACCTCTTGGACGATGAATAGCCATGACTTTTCCATGACCTCTGAAGTCATTTCATTAAGCATTTTTTTTATAAATATCTAATTTTCGAGTCGCTGCGACCTGTAAACCACTTCGAAGACTTTGAATAGTTGCAAAAACAAGCTCGACCTGTGCTTATAGTTATTAAATGTCCACTTCATTTTTTTTTTTTTAAACTTCAGATAACTTGCGGATCAGATGATATTATCAAAAAAATGTAAGAGATTATACTTTTATAACTTTTTCTTAGCAAACAAAGTGCACTTAATGTCAATTTTTTCAATTCATAATTTGTCTTGCTTTAAAAAATCAGTTTTGATTTGTTGTCTAACTAAAGCACAAGTTAATATATTTGAAATCTTCATCACAAATGCATAAAACATAAAAAAAACACTGAGTTTCAGCTAATTGCATTTAATATAAATATAAACGGTAACAATTGCTATGAAGTCCATGCTTATAACGAATTATAGCCCCATTTATACTTGAAGAGTTCAGATGCAAAAGTCTCTAAGTGCCATTTGAAATTTTCTTCTAAAATGAGCATTTTTATCAAGCTTGTATATTCAAGTTTAGTAATTTCACTTAAATGACAATTAATAGGTAATCTTCATTGCCATTTAAGTGAAATTTATGAACTTTAATTTACAAGAAAATTTTGCATCTGAACTCTTCACTTATTAAGAAGCAGTATTACTATTCTTTACTTTTATAATACTTATTAACAAAAGTTTATAATACTTGAAAACAAGTTTAAATGGATCTATAATTCATTATAAGCATGGACTTCATAAAAAAGTGTTACCATATAAACTAGAATACATTTTAATTGAACTTGTCAAAGCACACTGCATTCAGCTCGCAGTGAAGGGCATTATTTTATAATATATCTGTAATAAGGACTTTTTAAAAACTTCTTTTACACATGTGGTTTCTTTGGGTACATGTACATGAAAATGTTGTACTATGCATTTTTCACGTACGCTATTGAAAGCATGAACCCATAAAGACGCTGTATTACACATGCCAGGCCAGTAGATGGCGATGCCACTTTGTACACAAACACTACACATCTGTAGACTGAACCCGTGATACGCATGCGCATGACGTCCCTGTTTTCACTAATCCATGTTTTTGTAGTTTAGACACAACAACCGTATCTTGTACTTTGAAACCATCGAGCACCCAGAAAATTGCTATATACATGTAACAGATTATTAGTAAAAACCCATCTTCAAAAGTTAGCATTTTCAGGCCCCCAAAACGCCATTGTGGTGTAAATCAACGGTTAAGCGCGTAAAAAGTTGAACGTGTTTAGTGTCGTGTAAACGGCCCCTTTGAGTGTCAAAGTTACTTTGGTACGTAATGCATTACAATATTGCGTTACTCCCTTAAAAAGTAACTGATTGCGTTACTTAGTTACTTTTTTAGAAAAGTAATGCATTATTACTCCATTACTTCCATAGAAGGAAATGCAGATTCACACCTGTACAGTAGAGGGCGCCACTCAAACAAACCTTTCAGCGGCAGTCATTCTGAGAAGAAATGTAACACTTTAACAACATTTTATTTTTTTTTTCATTTTTGCTAATGGTTTATCTGAATCATCAAAGGTCAGAAGCAAGTACATTGGTCAATAAAGTGAGATTAAATGCATAAAAATATGATTTATTTAACATATTTAGGTATTGGAGGTTTGCATAGTATTCCGATCCTGCATTTCATTGATTTGATTCATTTTGAGGAATACTGAATCTTTCGTTTCGTGCAAGTGAGATGAGTAAGTGCACGCTCACATTTAGTCCAGAACTACTATAACCATCATGCACTTCGATTTCTCAACATGAGGACAAGAGAGCTGTCAGTCAAAATACGGGAAAAAAAACTTGCATTACTTATTTTAAAAGTAATGCATTACTTTAATAGTTACTTTAAAAAGTAATCTGATTACATAACTTAAGTTACCTGTAATGAGTTACTCCCAACGCTGGTCACAAACAATATTTGCTTTTCCTATGATATGAGTTTTAGGCGGGAAAATCTGTTTGTCTGACATCACATGTTGGACAGTTATCTGATATGTTAGCCAAATTAAATGCAAGGACAAACCATTAATCTTCTTAATTGCATTTACATCCATAGTCTACATACTAATTTGCACAGACTTTCCTACTTATCTCTGAAAGCATGTGATCCTGGAGCTGCCGGGTGTGTGTGTGTGTGTTCAGAATTGCCCCCAGCTGGAGTTTGCCGTATTAGATCTGTGTCCCTACCGAACCATTTAGCGTTTCCTTTCTTTGAATGCTCTCTAACTAAAAGGACCAAAAATGGACATTCATCTTGACAAATACCAGCTGTCGGGGTTTACATCAAAGAGGTGAGCTGCACCTTCAGGGCATGCTGGGTAATGTAAAGTAACACAGCACAGGTGAGCGAGTGTGGGGGCTTTCCCGACTTCTTTTATCATCCCAAATGTGCTCTTGTCAACATTTAGCCAGTGACAGCAGGATGAAATGTTAAATAAAGCACGATTTCATTAGCCATTACCTGAGAGCACGGGTTATTTGGCCGTACCAGATGTCCGTCTCTTTTTACCGTATTCCTCTAGCAATCGCAGATGATTTAGGAGCGGACTCCTATGCGTTCTGCACAAACAAATCCTGCTGGGTTAGCTTCGGGCCTCTCGCGAATTAACCTTTGCCTCTGTGAACTTAAATAGGTAAAATATTTATGCTTTGCTGTCTCTTGTAGAGTAATCACTGGTGGACCATCTATGGGGCGCGCCGTGCGTTTTCCCCGCGGGCCGCTAGATTTGTGGGCTGGTTGTAGACACCGAATTTAGATGCAAAGTAAATATGTAAAGATTTTAAAGGGATAAAAGGTCAGACATCATCTGAAACCACAGTAGCGGATCCACAATCACAATCCACAAACATTCGTGGCGGTTTTACAGGATTGTAAGGTTTGAATTTATGGATATTTTATTGCTTTTGTACACTGTGTAAAAGTTGTACTATGTTGGATCCATATTAAAGAGGTGATGATATGCATTTTTTATTGTTTTTAAATGTTTCTTTGGGGTTCACTTATAAGTTTAAATAAATATATATGCATTTTCAACTCTCATGACCGTCTGTCCGGAATGATCCGTTTTTAAGGCGCGGCTCCTTTAAGGCTTGTCAGTGAACGCACCGTTGTGATTGGCTAACATCAAAAACACTATAAACTTCCACTCTCTGTTGCAGTCAGAAAGTGATTGGGAAATATTATCCATTTAAATTTTTCATTTATAGATAAAGAATCATTTATCATTGACTTACAATTTGTGATCCAATACATTTGGCTGCTTCATCTTTCAATAAATGTTCAAATTAAAGCATTGCTTAACTAATGCACAGATAATACTGAATTAATGTGTAACTAATGATTATTTAAGCTATTCATTAATGATTACCACATTAGGAACTAATTAAGAGTCTGTAAGGTTGATGTATTAGTTCATACATGAATTGTTATTAATTAAATATGTAATTGTGGATTAATTCCATAATAACGCATTTTTTTAACTAATAGTGTTAATTAATATGTTAATTACCAGAATGAGCTAAAGCCTTGTATTTTAACTTCCAGATAATATTGATACATGATTAATCACTTTGTCACGATTACCAGTTGGAGTGCCCCAGAGAATCACCAGAGGGCACTCCACATCAGAACTGATCACTTCTCCAGAACTCCATTTCCCATAATGCCTCATCCCGGTGACTGATTACACACACACCTGCACCTCATCAGACTCTCTATTTAAGCCACACTCTTACACTCACCCAGTGCGAAGTCTTGTTTAAGTGTTTCACTGCAATTCTGAGCATTCTTATGGTTTTCTGGTCTCTTGGTTTTGGATATCTTGCCCTGTTCCCTGGATTACTCTCTTGCCTCTGGTCCCTGCCTGTTTTGTTTGTTTCTTTGTTTATCTGTTTTGGACTGCCTATCTATTTATGACCCTTGCCTGTACATTGGATTACGCCTCTGGATTGCCCTCAAATAAAGCTGCGTTTGGATCTCATCTACAAGCCTCAGAGCAGTTCGTAACAGAATACTTCGCCTCTTCAGATCCAGCAGCCGAGAGAGAACCGAGATCCACCATGGACCCACTTATTAGTCTCTTCCGCCTCAGCCAAGGTAATCGTTCTATAGAGGAATATGTTGAGGAATTTTGTGAGTTATGCCATGGGGTGGACTTGGATGATTCAGTCTTAAAAGATGCTTTCCGATATGGACTTAAGGACATAATAAATTATCTCATGCCTGATAATACCCCTCAATGGACTTTATGTCAGTATATTGGATTCGCCCTGAGAATTAGCGGCTCATCATTTACTGTGGGCTTTGAGGATAAGGCCGAAGGGGCGTTCCCAGAGACCGTCCAGCCTGAGACCATCGAGCCAGAGACGCTTCACGTCACTTCTGCCGAGCCAGAGACGCGTCACTTCACTTCTGCCGAGCCAGAGACGCTTCACGTCACTTCTGCCGAGCCAGAGACGCGTCACGTCACTTCTGCCGAGCCAGAGACGCTTCACGTCACTTCTGCCGAGCCAGAGACGCTCCACGTCACTTCTGCCGAGCCAGAGACGCGTCACTTCACTTCTGCCGAGCCAGAGACGCTTCACGTCACTTCTGCCGAGCCAGAGACGCTTCACGTCACTTCTGCCGAGCCAGAGACGCTTCACGTCACTTCTGCCGAGCCAGAGACGCTTCAAGTCACTTCTGCCGAGCCAGAGACGCTCCACGTCACTTCTGCCGAGCCAGAGACGCG